TTAACTATGACTTTTCCCTCAATAAATTCCTAATTTGCTGCTTATTAATAGTTAGTAAGGTACTTGTTAAGTTTAGGTATTGGGTAGGATTAGGAATGTAGAATAAGGTAATGTAGAATAAGGCGTTAATATGTGCTTAATTAATACTAATAAACGACTAATATTCTAGTAATATGCATACTAATAAGCAACTAGTTAAGAGACCCTAAAATAAAGTGTTAGCAAATTTCCATACATTGTCTTATTGCAGTGAAACCCAAGCATCAAAGTGAAGTGCAGACAGCTGTGATCTGGAAACCCTCCATAAACAATGATTATTCAAGTGTTTTTTTTTGTTTTTTTTGCAGTGGTTCAAAATATGCCACATGCAAATAGGATATGGTACTTTAACATGCTAACACATAATTGAATTAGATGCTCTTTACCTGAAGGTGCAAGTTAAAAGAAGTTGTAAGTTCATTTCATATTTCTCAAAGCAATGTTCTTGTTAAAGCCCATTTGTAATATCAAATGTTAATATCCATTTGCTTTCAACTAATGTTGTTTTTAAAACCAAAATCACATGACCTACAGCAGGGATGTCCAATCCTGCTTCTGGAGGGCCAGTATCCTACAGACATTAGCTCCGACCAGCTTTAACACACTTGCCTGGAAGTTTGTAGCTGCTGGATCCAAAAGCTGAAAATTGTTGCCTTCGTAGAATGCATTTCAAGGTAGGAAGGCATCAATGCATGCCCGAATCCAGTGTTAGCTTCACTTCCTGTCTCCTGAGAAGCCTTCCATTTGATTTTTGAAGGCAGCATAGATGTATCCTTTGCTGCCTTTGATATCGCACAATCCTGTGAATTCCATTCTGTGCCAGTTGAGCTAAAAAATAAATAAATAAATAAATATGGCACTGGTTGTAACTTGTGACAGAGTTGTGGTTTGTGGTCATTTGTGTTTAACAAGTCAGCAGCCTGAGCTTTCGAACACAGCCAATGAGTCTGAAGACCTTGGCTGTGCCTGAAATTGCTCTTATACCCTTAAATATTGTCACGAATTCGGTCTATGAACTTCCGTTCACTCACCACCACCAGGTCACCTGCTCACTACATGGACTCTCACACTACACAGACTGTTACACTATATCCTGGACTACATTTCATACATTGCACTCAGCTGTAACCAATCACACGCTCACCTGAAAGCTATTACACACACTATATAACACCCACTCAGATCCTGCTCAAGTCGCCGAGTATTGTCTGCGTTTATCGCTCTCCAAGTGATAGCACTTTACGGAGCCATTTCCCTGTCTTAGTTTCTAGTTCATAGATCATAGTTTAGTCTAGTCTTGCCTTGCATCTTTGCCTGTGTATTACGGATTACCCCTTTTGTCTAGCCCTCTGGATTCTGTTCGTCTATCGAAGACCCACGCTTGTCCTAGGATTACTCTTTGTCTTGCCTGTGTTGTACCTGTTTGCCATTG